CTAGTTTAGCTGCCAGTTTTTGTAACATGGATATCTGCAATTCGATATTACAAATACATACATAATTATGTACATACAAATGTGTACGTGTGTACAGCGTGTAAAATAATAACTGTTGCGCGTAGTTTTTGTTAATTACGATTATTACCTTTATTTCGATTAATTAGTGATTAATTTTTTTTTTTAATATATATTATTTACGACGTAGGTTTTTAGCCAGTTATTCCAATCTACGCCCTCGAGATTTAACAAACTTACTTTAAATCTTTCGGAAACCTTCGCACTCGTCTATTATTTCGTCCCAATTTTTTTAATGCTTTTTGAAACTATCCAAGGACATATAGACCTAAATGATGTAATACAGAGGATCTTAATACGGGCAAGATTTTGAATAGTTCTTCCATATTATGTTGTTTTAAGAATTTGAAGCGATAACAACTTCTTGACTTGCCAAATGTTGTTCTAAAACAAGTAATATAAAAAAATTTTAAGGCAACCTTTTACCAGTGGTTAATAAAAAAAATCGACCCCGCATCTCGACGACTAAATTTTTTTTTTTAGTTATTTTTATTCATTTAAATATTATAGGTTATAAATATGAAACAAATCGGACCATAAATACGGATTTTCCAAATATCTCGACTCCTGCGCCCCTATTGAATTGGTGGACATACTCCTTTTCATGTAAAGGGTGAACAAACCAAAACTGCGACACTTAGAAATTACTACCAGAAACAAACTAGAAGGCTTTGAAATTATTTTTTTTTTTGTATTATATAACTTGGAAGTTTAGATGTTATTAAAATGCTAAAATATTAGTTATTATTTGCTCCATATGCAAGTGATCGGTATTTTCATCGCCCACGCGACATAATGTTCTGCACGACTACATCATCGACTTTACGCGATGCGCACAACTACTTTGTTTTGCACTCTTTAATATTTTTCACTGTTTCAACTGTTTTCTGCAAGATTTCTTTGACAATTGACCAATATTCCCCATTAGGACGTGGCTCTGGGCTATTGGGTGGATTGCAGTCGTGAGGTACAAAATTGATGTTATTTGCATTATACCACGGCAATGTGTCCTTGGCATAG